GAATTTACTCAGCTATGAAGAAGAATGAAATCTTATCATTTGCAGGTAAATGGATGGAACTGGAGAACATCATTCTGAGCAAGGTCAGCCAGGCTCAGAAGAACAAAAATCGTATATTCTCCCTCATATGTAGATTTTAGATCTAGGGTAAATACAGCAATGCTGTTGGACTTGGATTTCAAGAAAAGGTGAGAGCACATACGGGAGAATAGGAATAGGTAGAAAACCCAAAACATGAAAGCATTTGATGTCCCCACTCCAGAGGAACTAATACAGAAACCTTCAAATGACAGGTTATCATGAGCAGGGGATCAGGAACCAATGTAAAAATCATTGAGTTAGAGTAGAATCAACATGGGTCGTAACACATGGGTACATGAAAGCAATAGTAGGGAATCTCTCTGTATCGCTATCCTTAACTCAACTAGCAAAAACGCTTTGTTTTCCTTATTATACTTATGTCTTTTCTTCAACAAAATCAGTGATAAGGGCAGAACGGGACCTGCCTAGAACTGAGGGGGGATAGAAGGGGGAAGGGAAGCAGGGTGTAGAAATGACCCAAACAATGTATGCACATGTGAATAAATGAACAACAACAACAAAAAAAAATTAAAAAATTAGTGTTGTGTGGGTTATGATGAAAAAAAAATCCTTCGCAAAAAAAAAAAAACCCTCTAATATCCTATAATTAATTTGAAACACCAACTGAATTATGTGTCTTGCACAAACTATGAGGCCACAACCTAAAACCTCCATGGCATAGTGGTTCCAACTAAAACAATGTTAGCCATGTTGTTCACTCTTGCAGGGGATAGGAAATGAAATTGAATTAATAACTCACACCAAATATTCAAAATATATTTCAAACTTGCTAATAAATTTTAATTGGCATTTTTGGGAAGCTATAGCAAAAGGTTAATGGAAGCCTTTGAAAACACTGTCTGCTGGTTATAGCAGATGAATTAGAAATTTTCAAACACTATGCAGGTTCCAGGTGGCAGCCACCTGGAAATTAAGCATTCTAAGAGCTCGCAGTAGGTGAATAAAAGATAAACATTTGGTATTTAGTAAGGCATTTATCATAAAACATTGGAAACACATGAAGAACTGGAAACCAGGAGATATGTTTCAGGAGACACATATTTGGGTCAGACGAAGGAACTGCTAGCTAAGAGCATACAAACAGAGGCTTAGAAGAAGCAGAAAGAGGTATAAAGATGGTAAAATATCAAATATAAGATACTGAAGAATTTTCCTGAAAGCTAAATATATGGAAATACAAAAAATAGAAATGGGCAATAAGTGAGTTCATTCTGATAATATACTGAATCCTTTTTTTTTTTTTGTTTCCTAGAATAGAAGTGTAGAAGTTAATTTCATTCTCAGTAATTTAGGAGAAAGCTGTCCTTGGTCTAGAGCAGTTCTTAAATAGTGTATAGGGATTGCTGGGAAATCTACAAATTTATTCTTAAGGAAAGAATACAGAAATTCAGGTGAGGCTTCCAAGAAGTACCAGGAAAAGGCATCAAAGGAAACATGACATTTACTTTAAGGTCCTGGATGAAAGGACAAAAATGACATCATTGTAAGCCGTAAGTGCCACTTCTCATAGACTTACATGGCAGAATCTACCAGGCTGCTCTGAGTTGAGGTGCTGAAGGGTATAAAGAGACATGACAAATGCAATCAGAAGAAAGGGGAAATCTGGGAGATGCTACAAATGTAGGGATCAGAGTCCATTTCCCCAATATTTGTGGCATACATACTGATTGGAGATATAGATGGGAATGCTATGAATACACAAATGTGAATCACAGAAGGAAAGTCTGGAATAGAAGTTTGTCTTTATAAAGTCCTTGGGAATGGAAAAGATCACCTCAGGAGAAATTTTAGGGGAAAAAATGGAGAAGGGCTCAGTATTTGGCTAAAAGAAGCAGTAAAACATAGTTGGTACAAGGAAGAAGAAGTATATTGAGAGTGGAGAGAGAAGACAGTTGAGACAGATGCCAGATGTGAGTTAGGAGGCTGGATTGTACCAAGACACAGAAATTATATGCTGAACCAACAATAAGACCACAGAACAATTTCTGAAAGTAATTACTAAGCCCATGGATAGTAAATGAATGACTGAATAAATGAATTACACAGCATGACATTTCTAGAATTCAGAGTTGAATTCCCTAGTCAGGAAGAACAGAACTATATAGAATGGCCATGATATCCATGAAAAAGGTTTAGCAGAGGTGAAGCTATAAGTTTTCTTTACTTTTATTTTAATATGCCTCCCCCCAAAAAAACCCAAAGAGCGTTAGCTTTGTCATTTTCTACTTATTAGTAATGTATCATTCCAATTTAATAATGGAAAAGATTATTGGGAGGAAATCAAGAAAACCTTCATAGATTAGAGTTAATTAATTTTAACTAGTTAGACAAGGAAAAATGTATTCAGCTCCTAGCAGTCTGTGAAAGAAATATTACAATGGTATACAGAAATACAATAATGAGCCAAAATATTTTCACTGAAACACAACAGAAGAGCTGTAAGCCATTATTTCTTAGCAAAAGAAGCAGTCCTAATGAAGTAGATTTTTGAAAATTGTCATATGGCTGAGCTCATTAGTTGCAATGAAAGTTCCCCCCACTGGTATAGGAGTACCTAATGACCAGGATTTGTTATGTCTCAAAAACAAAGGTACTTTTTAATTCATGTGATAGCTCACTGAGGAGAATTCAAATCTAGAAGCTCTTAAATTATGATATATAAGAGCACTGAAATTCTCCAACTTAGACTTATTTCATCTAAAACAGTGTATTTACTCCTCTAAAATCTCGTTCATTAGTTGGGTCATATAATCATAGAAGGAAATTATGCTTAACAATAACCTAAACTATAAAAAACACAGTGATGGCTCTACTATTTCAAATATGAAAACGAATGTTCCCTGTGAAACATATTAGTAGTGTATGCTGACACACACATGCCTCCGCTCTAACAGATGGAAACCAAAAACCCACTAGGCCCCAGAATGGAAACAGAAGAATCAAATTAAGTTACAAGTCTGTAAGTCCTTAGGAAAGTTAAATATTTTTTACAAAGAAAAATGTCAGAATGCTTACACAAAACATTAAATATAATCAAATGAGTCAAGATAAATATTTCAAAAACATTATTTACAACAAAAATTCCTAGAAAATAAATTCTATAATTTAAAAAGAAACATCTAAAAAGAATTATGAAGCAAGGAGGACTGGCACATGACTATAATACCAGTACTGGGAGACAGAAGGAGGAGAATCGAGAGCCCAAAGCCAGCCTGGCCTAGAAAACAAGACTCTGCCTCAAAAATAAAAAAACAAAAATTAAAAAAAATAAAGTATGTTCCAGTTTACTGTTCAATTCTAGAACTACATGAAACACATAAATTGGTGAGAAATGCAAACTGTTATGATCCAAAAATATTTCCACTGAATTCTTGGTGAAGTATGAATGTTGACATAAGCTATTAACTCCTCGGCCATCATTTTCCGAGAACCAAGAACTCTCTGTGTATTTCAAGGAACTATGTGCCACTCCCTGCATCCAACATTCAGTTACCTATCAAGTAATGCTTACCAAGAGTACTCACTTTCATTTCTTTTTTCATTCCATTTCCTCAAAAATTTCTAAATTTCAGGAATCAAACTTTAGAAAAGTTAATTTCCCCAACTTAATGAACCAATCAGTTGAAATCTATTTTTACTAGAGCCAAATTATTTTTCAGTGTTTTCTGAATTCAGTCCTATGCCCTTTTGTCTTATTATGCATTGTTTAATAGAAGACAATTTGGATTATCATTTCTTCTTAAATTTCATTAAAACATATATACATTTTACTTATACTAAAGTAAAGGGAGAAAGTAAATAATTTACTGTCATGAAAACATTAGAATTGAGTAGCAAAAAATAAATGGCTTATTATTGCTCTCAGAAATGTAGACTATTTCCAACTGGTTGTATGACACATATAATTCAAAGAGACTTACAACTTCAGGACAAACTTACAAAGAACATCTCATTGTATCACTCTGCAAATCCAAACTTTGCACATCCAACTCTCTTTGCAAATAAAATGCTAAAATTCCTATTTTTACAGCAAAAGAAAATTTAAAGGTGGCAGGGGGTGATCAAAGTAAGAAGGAATATTCACTCTGACATGGTAAAAATAATATCCTTATTAAAGCTGACTGACCTCAAGTTGAAAACTTCAGTATAATGAAGGAAATAATGAAATTACAAAAGTAATTTCACATTACTAATAACCAATGATCAACACAAAGAAATAAGGTATTCCAATGTTCCAAATTGTTGTCTTCCAATAAATATTCATAAACTGGTGTTTGAAGGCAAGTAAGTTGTTTCCATAAAAGCAATATGAAATATATTAGTGAAAATTGGATTTTTAAGGCAGTCAATTATTTAAATGATACTGTAACTAAATATTTTATATTAAGTCCTACCCTTCATAACTCTTTACAACCTTACCTATGCCCACAGTACAGGGTAGAACCAGGTTAACATATTTGGGCATCAGAAAGGACTAGTTGAAGCTTTGGCAATCTGGTGTCTCTTAGGACAAGGAAGGAGAAGAAGTCCACTTCAGGTAGAAAGGAAGACACCCTTTTCGGCACATGAAGTGCTTGTGAATGACATGGAATCAAGGACAATTGCCCAGGCCATAGAGGAAGAAGATGAACAGAGAGTGGGGCTAGCAGACATCCATCAAATTTAACCTAAAAAACAATGTGTTGGTAAGTAGAAAGCCTCATTAACTAACCAAATAAATTCAACTCAGCTCTAATCATGACAACTCATAAAATAGTCCATAATTTTGCTTTAAAATGTAATATTCTGTATGAAAACACTGTGACTAAGTATTGTATATTTGCAAATAAAAAGCATTATTTTCTGTCATTTAGAATAAACAGAAGCAATGAAACTTTTTTTTTTATAAAAGCACAAACCTTTACTAGCTTTGTCTAAATGTTCTAAATCATCCACGAAATTCAGAATATCCGGGTACTTTTCTTCACATATTTCTACTAGGAAATGAAGTAGTGTTGTTTTCTGATCTGCTGATTTTGTGTCCCTTAGCTAAATGAAGGAGAGAAGAAAAAACACAGTCAGTAGTATTTTGATAATCTATTTACCCAAATAATTAAAATTCCGTATTTTGTGGATAAGAAGTTATAAAATTAGCTCCATTTTTGAAAAACATTGAAATACTTGAAAAGCTACTTTTTGCTGGTTTTTTGGTCAGAAACATTAACATTAATTGTAAAAGAAATGGCTTAATATAATTAGTATGCAATGTTTTATAGGAAAAAAAATATGGTGAAATGCCTAGGAAAATAAAATAACCTGAAAGTCTATATAATAGTAGAACCATTCATTCATTTATCATTTATCATTTGGCACATAGAATGCTTATTGGATACAGTAGGAGTTTGAGGGAGATACAGTGACAAATCAGATACAAAGTAATTAAGTAGCATATTTTCCCTGGTATGACAAATAGTGTAGTAAAAATAATCACCAACTACATTGCACAATATGACATCTGAACTGAACCTTTAAAAAGAGAAGTTGCATGAGGGAAAGAAGGGGAGGGCAAAATTAATGAACTAATAAAGAAGTGGGCAACTGAACTAAACAAAACTTCAAAGGAAGTCCAAATGGCCAAAAAAAACACGTGAAAAAAATGCTCACCATCCCTGGCCATATAGAAAAATGCAAATCAAAATCACACTAAGTTTCTACCTCACTCATGCTCAAATAGCATCAAGAACACCAACAACAAATGTTGACGAGGATGTGGGAAAAAGGAACCCTCATACCCTGCTTGTGGAAATGTAAGCTATAGTGAAGCCACTTTGGAAAACAATATGGAAGCTTCTTAAAAAACAAAACACAGAACTGCCTTATGATCCAGCAATCCCACTCCTAGGGATATACACAAAGGAATGTGACTCAAGTTATTACAAAGGCATCTGCATACCTATGTTTATTGCAGCACTATTTAACAATAGCCAAGCTATGGAAACAGCCAAGATGCCCTACTACTGACGAATGGATTAAGAATATGTGGAATTTATACACAATGGAATTTTGTCATTTGCAAGTCAATGGATAGACCTGGACAACATCATTTTAAGCAAAATTAGCCAGACTTAGCATAGTGTGGATTAGAGAAAGGGTAATAACAAAAGCATGAAGAGTAATTTTTAAAACAGTGGCAATAATCCAGGCAGGCAAATAAGGTAGTCAGAGTTGCAGTTGTGGCCTGGAAATGGAGGCAGTGGGACAGAACAAGTCAGGAAACCCAAGCGATATAGTTAATCAATACAGGTCAGAAAGGAAGAGAAGCAGATTGGGGAGGGGTGGGAAAAAAAGACAACTGTTTCCATTACAGATAGGATGAACTTGAAGCTTTTAAGTAATAAGCAAGAGGAAATGTCCAGAGAGGATGCAGATTTATGTAGGTATAGGAAGTGTTTCAGAGCTCCCCTCCCACATTAATTTCCCTTGGGCATTTTTCCTAATTATCTATACCTAGGAAACTTTAAAGCTACAGGAAAACAGCATTCATATTTCAATCCTGTATGTCTGTGTGTACTTTATACACTAAAAGCCTATAAAATAATAAGACTTTTATACCATAAGGAACAAATAGATCTTAAACAAAAATTTGTGGGGTCCTTGCTTCTAAAGTTAGTTAGTTCAAGTGAACCCAAACAGGTATGTAGAATGAAAGAAGATCTGGGTGAAAAGGCCAAGAAATACAACCCAGAAGGGAGAGGTGGTTATGTTAACATTTGCAGTAACTGGAGTTGGCTTGAGTTTTGTGTACTGGTTGGGTATAGGGAGAGTGGTATGAACACAGGGCTAACAGATGATCTGATTGCATTCCCTACCACTAAGTAATCATTCACAGCAGATACACATATAAAGGAAACAACAAACAAACCATTCTTTTCATCCCAGAATTTAATTCAGAGCTGGGAACTCTTGGTGTGTCTAACTATGCAGAGCCTCATTTACTTGCTTTCCTTCCAACAATTTCCCACTTACAAATAGGTCAGTGGGTATGTTTGCTTGCATATGCTGCAATATGCAATATTTTAACACTCTATATCACTAAATACCTTCTCTCTCAGAGAAATATCAGATACAGTTAATAACCACGGAAGAATAAGAGTCTATGTCATCACACATTAACATACTCCCTATTTACCGAAGAAAAAATATGACAGTGATGGGAAAACTGAGCTTCCCATCTCATAGCCTGACTTTCACATAAATATGCATGTAATAGGTTCAAATGCTACAGTAGCCTGTGAGCACAGGACCCAAAAAATGGATCCTGGGCAAGGGGTGTATGTAGATTGATGCTAGAGCACTTCCCCCCCCAAAAAAGAATGAAAAATTTCCTGGCATTTTAAAAACAGACTTAATATGAACAGTTAGCCCTTTTTTTGATACCTTATTTGAAAGGAACTAGATTTCATAACACCCAGATGAGTGTTTTAAAAGATCAGTTTAAAAAATTGACTCCATTATTAGCCACTAACAAGTGTGGATGACCTATTAATACTAAATATGCCCTAACAATTTAATAACCTTGGATTGTCATTAGGCCTCTGATTACATACTGGTAAAAAAAAAAAAAAAGAAAAGAAAAATGAGGAGGGAACTGGGCACAGAAAGGGAACTCTAACTTCACTTTCTAGTACAAAAATATTAAGTATACAATATGATCAATCTAAGTGTGCAGAGACATAGTGAAATCTAATAAAAACAAGTACTAGAATAAAAATGAATAAACCTAGGTATAATTTCTGTTCAGAAATTATTTTTGCATGCCTGGGACAGGTGACATTTTTGTATGGGTTTCAGTTTTTCTGTAAACTCCAGAGTAATAGTCTGATTCCTAACTTTCATTATAACTTTATTTCAATCCCACTATCATCTTTAATAGTTAAAACCAGCTGAAAAATCAGCAAACTTAACAAATATAAGAGTTAGCATAAAAGCTATCTTCAGTTTTGTTAAAAAGCTCCCTAAAAGCAAAGCTCCTTTCTTTTTTCTCATTTTACATCATTACTTTTTGGAAGGTTCTGTGGACTCTGAGAGGCCCATGGACCCCAGTCCACACCCTTCTTCACTAGTAAGCAGTTTGTAGAATTCCAATTAGGACAAGTACCATCTACTTCTATAATGTGTCGTGCCTTTAAAAAAATGTTTTGCAGAAGTATTTGTGATGTAACTAAGTAGCCAGCAACTACAAGGATTAATATATCAAAAAGAAATCTCTACAGTGAAACTACAATTGACTGGATTAATCTCAGTATTTATTCACAAGGAACAAGAATTGAGAATTAGGATTCAGAAAACAATATGGTTCATAGCATCTAGCATCCAGTTTAATAAATGGTAAGTACTGAGGTCCAACACAGATGAAAGTTAATTACAAACAATATCAAGCTAACACTAATGTAGAGAGGGGGGTTGTTACCATACAACGGCCTACCACAATCATCAACTGAAGCCACATTGGTAAGAATCTAATATTAAAAAGCACACTCACTGAAGAGTAAACAGAAGCACAACTCTCCCTTTATTACTAAATCTATACTTAATAACTGGGAAATGAAAAAAAAACAAAACAAAACACTGAAACTCCGAATGAATTTGGAACTAATCTTAATAAAATGAAAGGCTCAGATAAGAAGCATTTTGTTGAGAACGCATGGTATCTCACTTTCACACTATTCTGCAGCTCTAAGTCCCAGGGCAGGCATTTTTCACTCATGTTCTAACATTCTAAGGAAAAACTTTATGATGCTGCCAAGGTATCTTTCCTGCCTCAATTACTCTACTTCCTCCCTCCCTCTACTAAATCATGGTAAAAACAAAAACAAAAAACAAAAAACAAAAAAAAAGAAGAAGCTTTCCAGAAGTATGAAAGCACTAGAAATTGCATTTAGAAAGATCTTCACCTGTTTACTCAATAAATATTTCTTTAATAAAACTAAAACAGACACATTCTATTTATCCCAATTATTCATAATCACTGACTGAGCTAGAGCAAGTAAAGGTTAGTTGAAGAACAATTTAAGCACAATTTGTAATACTAAAAAAATGAAACTAAAATATTTGCTTTAAAATTTTATTCAGGTTAAAAATATGCTTTATTTAAATCTTAAGAGACATTGCTTGACAGGATTCGTTTGTGTTATTGTCAAGAGATTTATCTGACTGATGAGTAATCATCACTGTTAAACAGAATTTCTTATTCATGTATTGTTTCTTTAAGGTTCATTTAATATGGCATAACTGTCAAATAAACAAAAAGATGGATGGAGTCTCTCCAACCACTCTGTTCATTCCAGACAAAATAACGTTAAAAGCAGATCCTGTAATAAATCATGGCCTAGTTGTCAGTATGGAGTAAAATTCCCTTGTAGGTACAATGCAAAATTTTGGAGTATTTTTAAGATACTCAGCACAAATTTAGATGACATTTAAAGAATATTCCATTGTTTTCAGCACAAGGAAGAAATTTCTGAAAAATAAAACCAAGTATCTTCTTGGTGATCTTCAATATCCAAAGAACTATAACCCCTAATGCTTTGAATAATGAAACGTAGACCTTAGGAATATTGTCAAATCAGTACCTCTCCTTTCCATTATGTTCCTGTAATCTAAGTGTAGATCAAAACAGCACTGTCTCTTCAGAGTTAGTAGATGTTGGTGAATACCAGAAACATGACAAACTTCTGAGAATCTTGTAAAGATCTCGTGAAAATTCCACTAGAACCTCCACATGTAATATAAATGCTGAGGATGACAGTAGGAATTATTATTTGTTTGGCCTTTTATGATGAAAAAGGGACTAGCCAAATAATATAGCACATGTTAAGTGCATAAAATACACTACATTCTATGAAAAGGAACAAATGTTATGTCCATTATTTCAAGGAGAGAACAGATGTAGAAGGATCCTGCAGCTTGTTCAGGATCATATACCTTGTACTTGGCAGAACACAATTACAAAGAGCTATGAAATATAATTCTTACACAAAACTTTTTAT